AAAACTGATTCAATTAAATATCTTTAAAATAAAATAAAACTTAATTTGAGTTTATTTACTTTTTTATGAATAATAATTTGAAAAAAGGTTAATGAACTTTTATGTAAAAACGATATTAATAGAATATTTATATTAGTATTTATATATGAAAAATAAATTGACTTTTTTAGATAAAAATATGGAGATGCTCAGAAGGGCGTGGCATTGGTAGTTTGGTATTTTCTTAAATTTAGTTATTTTACAACAAACAAAAAACAAAAAAACAAAAAAAAAACAAAACAATGAAGGTTATTTTTTAAAGATTGAATAAAAAATTATTTTCCATAAAATGGCAGAAAAATATCAATAAATAGTCGATAACTTATTTTTCAGAGATCTCCCGAACAATGCCGGGTATCCACGCCAGTTATTAATTAATAAAAAGTAAATAAACTTTAGATTAAGATACATTTTAAACATATTTAGTTTAATTTTTTCAAGCAAAAAGCAAGAGAATACTGATTGAAAAAATGTTCATATCTATCTTGTTGCGGGGCCGAGTAGGATGTCGCCCCCGCAAGGTTTTATGAAGATAAATGTGAACAGCCAAGACAATGACGGGACAAAGGCTTTGTTATGAACAAAAGTGTCGAATTTATTAACACGTTTACATCGGAGAGGTCCGGTATGACTGGTTGATCGACGAACGTAGCTGGTTCGGTCGAATGTAGTTGATCCGGTCCGGTAGTTTAGGATTGGTAGGCGAACGTAGCTGGTTCGGTCGAATGTAGCTGGTCCGGACCGGTAGTTTAGGATTGGTAGGCGAACGTAGTTGGTTCGGTAGTTTAGGATTGGTAGGCGAACGTAGTTGGTTCGGTAGAATGTAGCTGGTCTGGTCCGGTAGTTTAGGGTTGGTCTGGCCCGGTAGTTTAGGGTTGGTTGTCGAACGTAGTTGGTTCGGTAGAATGTAGCTGGTCTGGTCCGGTAGTTTAGGGTTGGTCTGGCCCGGTAGTTTAGGGTTGGTTGGCGAACGTAGCTGGTTCGGTCGAATAGCGAAGACGGAGTCCCTAAACAGGGCCTAGGCAGAACAGTAATACAGCTTCACAGGGCGGATCAACCGCGGAGACGGGATCGCGCCAAAGTGTATCACTTGGCGAAGGCGGTGTCCCTAAACAGGGCCAAGGCAGGACAGTAATACGACTCCACAGGACGGATCGACCGCGGAGACGGGATCGCGCCGAAGTGTATCAGCAGGCGAAGGCGGAGTCCCTAAACAGGGCCAAGGCAGGACAGTAATACGACTCCACAGGGCGGATCAACCGCGCTAACGGGATCGCGCCAGAGTGTATCACAGGCGAAGCAGGTCAGAGAGGTGTTACACCTTCCAGGGCGGATCGACCGTGGAGACGGGATCGCGCCGAAGAGTAACACTCTCGACAAAAGCACCGGAAGTTCACAAAGGCAGCGTACTACACTTTGATCCAGCTTGGTTTTGGGCGACAAAAGTGGCCTAGAATATTTGGAAAGAGTTGTTCAAGTACTCCCTGGCTAGAGGGAGTGGAAGACCGTAGATAATAAATTACTGTCTATGGTTGCTGATGTTTGGAATGGCTCTGCATAGTCAGATGCACACTAGGTATGGTTTGGCGTTAACGATATTGAACTAGCCGTCCGGTTTCTCGCATGTTGCTTGACCTAGATCTGCGAGATCGGGAGTTGTGAAGGTCAAGGTCGGTTTTCTAAGGAGCGGATAATCGGCGACCGCGACAAGGCCCTTCCCCTAGAAAATTGATCATATCAATTAATAATAATAATATTTACGAAGGTCTTTAGGGAAAGTGACCCTCCTACCGGATCGAGTCTGCCGCACAGGAGTCGCTGGGGTGTCGTTTGATGTCTGCGGTGCTGCGTCTGCTGCGTCTGTTGGGTGCGCTGGAATATCATTAGGGGGCCGCAGAGCCGGGTTTGCGTCATACTGTCGCTTCTCCAGAAAAGCAGGCTTGGTCCGATCGATTGCGATGGTGTCGGTCGAGTTAGCGCGCTTGATCGTAAGGTGCTTGTCGATGCGTCGAAGAACCTGAAAAGGACCTTGGTATGCCGGCGTGAGTGGTCGTCTCACGGCGTCGTTCCGTACGAAAACGAATTTGCAATCTCGCAAGTGTTGCGGGATGTAGGAATTCACCGGTTGCTGTCGCGGAGTTGCATATTTAAGCCGTGCCAATTTGTGGCGGAGTTCCTCGACGAAAGGAGATGTTGGTTTTGAAAACGTCTGAAGGGAGTCGTCGAAATATTCGCCGGGTAGCGCAAGAGGTGTACCGAAAACCAGTTCGGCGGGTGAACAACCTAAGTCCTCCTTTACGGTGTTCCTCAATGCTAGGAGAATTAAAGGTAGGTCGTCCACCCAATTGACAGTGTCAGGTCTAGTGGCCAGGGAGGTTTTAAGAGACCGATGAAACCTCTCAACTAAGCCGTTGGGGCACGGATGATAAGCGGTAGTCTTTATGTGCTTGGCGCCAAGTAGATTGGTAAACTCCCGAAAAAGGGACGACTGGAACTGTGACACCCTGTCGGTCGTGATGACTTGGGGCGTGCCGAAAGTTCCAATCCACTCTTTCAGGATGGTCCTAGAGACAGTGTTAGCAGAAGTGTCTTTTATAGGGATGGCGGTCGGCCACCGCGAAAAACGATCCACAACCGTCAAAAGATACTGGTAATCCTGACACATCGGAAGCGGTCCCACTAAGTCGACATGAATGTGAGAGAACCGTGCATCGGGACTGCTGAAGGTGCCGACGGGGGATTTAGTGTGTCGGTGTACCTTACACTTCTGGCACTCCATGCACGTGGAAACCCATTCTCGAATGTCCGCATTCATATTGGGCCAAACGAATCGGTCGGTAATAAGTTTGACCGTAGCTCTTTTACTCAGATGAGACAGCCCGTGAAAATGTTGGAATACCTGTCTCCGAAGTGTCGGTGGGATGTAGGGCCTAGGGCTTGCTAGGCTGGTGTCACAGTACAGGGTGTCGTCGCTGAAGGATGCAGGGATCTCCCGAAGCTTCAAAGAAGTATTTGAAAGGACGTCTTGCAGCGTGGGGTCGGATTTTTGTTCAGCGGCTATGGAATCTTGACTCAAGACGCCGGTCTGAAGAGATTGAATTTCCGCTCGCGATAATGTGTCTGCGACGGCGTTGTCCTTCCCCTTTATGTGACGAATATCGGTCGAGAACTGTGACAGGTAGTCGAGATGCCGGATCTCGCGAGCTGTATACTTGTCAGAGTTGTTACTCATCGCAGTTGTCAACGGTTTGTGGTCGGTATAGATGGCAAAATCTCGACCTTCCAGTAAGTGCCTGAAATGCCTGACGGCCAGATAAATGGCCAGCAGCTCTCGGGAGAAGGTGCTATATTTTCTCTGGGCTGGCGAAAGCTTGGCTGAAAAGAATGCGATGGGTTCGCGTTGTGAGTTGAACTCTTGCTCAAGCACCGCGCCCACACCAGCGTCCGATGCGTCGGTTGTCAGGAATAGTCGTGTCTCTGGATCGTCGTTGATATGCGAGAGCCTGGTATAATTTGCCAATGCAGCCTTCGCTGTATGGAATGCGTGCAGAGCATCTCCCTCCAAAGAGATGTCCTTGTTTCTTCTCTGCAGCAGGTTCGTCAGTGGCTGGAGGATGGTAGCGCAATTTGGTATGAACCGACGATAAAAATTGAGCATACCGAGGAAACGTCGCAATTGCTTCATGGACGTCGGTGTAGGAAAGTCCCGGATCGAGCTGATCTTGTCTGGCAGAGGTGCTATGCCGTCTGCGTCGGTGCGGTGCCCGAGAAAGTCAACGCTGGGCGCCCCGAAAACGCACTTGTCCAGGTTCAACTTCAGGCCGTAGTGCGAGAGTCGCTGGAAGACTTCTCGCAGGTGTTGTCTGTGAGAATCGGCGTCTGTACTGGCCACCAAGATGTCGTCGATATAGGCGTATACATGCGGAAGTCCGCGCAGGACTTCGTCTATGAGCCGTTGGAAGGTCTGGGCAGCGTTACGTAGACCGAACGGCATTTTTAGAAATTCGTATAGGCCAAACGGTGTTGTGACTGCCGTTTTGGGACGTCTTCCGCAGCGACGGGGATCTGGTGGTATGCCTTTGTCAGGTCGATTTTCGAGAAGATGCGAGCCCCATCAATCCGGATGCAAAATCATGGATATGAGGGACAGGATATCGGTCTGGTACGGTCGATGCATTTAATTTCCGGTAGTCGACGCATATCCGAAATTCTTCACCACCAGGTTTAGGCACTAAGTGTAGAGGCGAGGCATAAGGGCTATCGGAAGGACGAATGATGCCATCACTGAGCATTTTGTCGAATTGCTCCTTGGCGTACGCCAGTTTGTGCGGAGCGAGTCGTCGCGGATGGGAGTGTGCGGAGGACCTCGGGTTCTGATGTGGTGCTGAGTCTGATGGTCACCTGAAGCCGTTACTTGGAGTGGCAGCGTTATATCCGTGAAATGCGTCAGGAGATCTAAGTACTCGCGACCATGGCATGTTGCGACGCTGATTCCTGTGGAGCCTTGACGTGTGGGGGTACCTAAGACACGGAGATTCGTCGCCGTATCGGACAGAGTCCTAGGGTTCATATGGACCGCCAGTGCGTAATGCGCCAGGAAATCCGCGCCGAGGATGGGTACCTTCACGTTGGCCACGGTAAATGTCCAAGTGAAATCGCGTCGCATGCCGATATTCAGAGTAAGGGTCCTTTCTCCGTATGTGTCTATCGCGGAACCATTCGCTGCTCGTAGTTTGATCAGGGTGGGCTTAGCGGTGTGGTCGTTCTGAAGGGGTACCACGCTGATGGCCGCACCTGTGTCCACCAGGAATTTCAACTTGTTTCGTCGATCCCAAACGTAAAATAGACGACATTGCGTGTTGGCACCGGAAAAGTTAATCGTCGCGACTCTCCGGTTTATTCGTTTCCCCGGGCCGACGGGTGTGTACAGGGAGGTTTACAATTCCTGGCCTCATCGCCGAATGTGCGATGAAACCAACAAACACCCTGGTCGCTTCGCCGTTCTCGGCTGGGGGTTCGTCTCCGTCGAGATGGGGTCGATGCGGACGCAGGGAGATCTGGAGCTCCCGAATTTGCCGTTGAAGGTCGGCCAACGCCCGTTCCGTTTTACTAGGCACGTAGCGTTCGTGCTTCGCTGTGGTCGAACTGTGCGAAAACTAGATCAGCAGATTCCGCCAAATCGTCCAGAGGCGTGGCTCTCGTCATTGGTGCGATGATTTGAGCGACAGATTTAGGCAAATGCTCCAGCCATAAACCTCGAAGGACCTTCTCTGATACGTTGTGCTTTCCCAGCTGGTTCCTCATATATCTGAGAAGCTGGGATGGCGTTTTGTCGCCTCTAGTGACGTTCCGCAGTATCTCTTGAATCATATCTTCCTCGGAACGTCCGGTTCGCTTGAGAATTGCTTCCTTTAAGTGATTGTATGGTTCATGCTCGCGCAAATCGGAGAGAACATCAGAAATTTCGTCCATCATATCGGATGGGAGTTTCTGCATTACATTCGCGAATCTGGCTCGCTGTGAAGTAATGCGTAGCATTGAAAAGATGGATTCCACCTGCAAGAACCAATTCTTGGCATTATGGTGGTATGCAGGCAGAGGTATGATCGCAGCCGTCATGTCCAAAGAATCACTTTTAGCCGACTCCATCATCGCTTAGCTGTCTCACGTCGGGAAGTCACCACTTGTTGCGGGGCCGAGTAGGATGTCGCCCCCGCAAGGTTTTATGAAGATAAATGTGAACAGCCAAGACAATGACGGGACAAAGGCTTTGTTATGAACAAAAGTGTCGAATTTATTAACACGTTTACATCGGAGAGGTCCGGTATGACTGGTTGATCGACGAACGTAGCTGGTTCGGTCGAATGTAGTTGATCCGGTCCGGTAGTTTAGGATTGGTAGGCGAACGTAGTTGGTTCGGTAGTTTAGGATTGGTAGGCGAACGTAGTTGGTTCGGTAGAATGTAGCTGGTCTGGTCCGGTAGTTTAGGGTTGGTCTGGCCCGGTAGTTTAGGGTTGGTTGGCGAACGTAGCTGGTTCGGTCGAATAGCGAAGACGGAGTCCCTAAACAGGGCCTAGGCAGAACAGTAATACAACTACACAGGACGGATCAACCGCGGAAGCGGGATCGCGCCAAAGTGTATCACCAGGCGAAGGCGGTGTCCCTAAACAGGGCCTAGGCAGAACAGTAATACAACTACACAGGACGGATCGACCGCGGAGACGGGATCGCGCCAGAGTGTATCACAGGCGAAGCAGGTCAGAGAGGTGTTACACCTTCCAGGGCGGATCGACCGTGGAGACGGGATCGCGCCGAAGAGTAACACTCTCGACAAAAGCACCGGAAGTTCACAAAGGCAGCGTACTACACTTTGATATATTTATTGTATCGAAAAATACAATTGTGGCACAAGGCCTGAAAAGGGGAGGGGTTGAGGCTGGTCTTCACTGACTATCCTATACCTAGCTAATCCGATTCACGACCCATTCACTCATTACAATTTGCCCACTCACCACATACGACCGTCCAGGACAATGCCGCCGACGTCCGTGGGATAGGTTAGTTTTACTGCCCTATATAATGAGGGATGGAGCAAAACGGGGACCCTCCCAGCACAAAAGTTCTTTAATTTGTTCAAAGTGGAATTGTCTGTTTCCACGATTCTGATTTCGGGGAAGGCTTCTCTAGCCTCGAAGATGTGGTTCCATACCTTGAGATACGCCCCCTTCTCCCTCACGCAGGTTATTACGCCGGGGGCCTGTGGGAAGTTTCGGGGGTCCTCTATACTTTTGCCATCTACGGAGTTCATTTTGTATAGACCCCCGAGTATGGCTTTCCGTTGCTTGGTCAGTCCCCATTTGAAGTCGTTTTTATCCACTTTGCAAATGGATTCGGGGCCAGCGAACATCTTTTTCTTCTTTTTTCTCTCTGGAAGGGGTGGGGGAGGGGAAGAGGTCGATGTGTTGGGTGGGGTGGCCGATGCGTCTAGGGGAGGCGGAAGTGGAGGGAGAGGGGTTGGAGCACGGGACGGGGAGGAAGGGTGGCTCCTAGGTTTGGTCGAAGCCACCGATCTTCTTGGTGAAGCAGGGACGGAGAGCGACCTGGATCTCTCCATGCCTTCCTCCGCCTTACTACTGAAAGAATGTTTTTGTGTGCGTTTGGTTTCCTCCTCCTCGTCGTCGTCTTCCTCCCTGCACCTTTTCAGGGACGAAGCACGAGGCGGAGTCCTACTGTCCACATCCATCTGCATCTTCGTTTGCAGGTTCTGTTGTTGTTTTTCTTGTTGCTGCTCCACATCATTTTGTTTTTTCTGCTGCTGCTGTTGTTGTTGTTTTTTCTGCTGCTTCTGGTGTTGTTGTTTTTTCTGCTGCTGCTTTGGTTTTGACTGCTGCTGGACTTCCTTCGGTAGCTGCAGCCCTTCTTTTTGAGTCTGCACCTCCTTCACACTCTCAGGCTGCGACTGTCGCTCTTCCTGAGGTAGCAGTTTTTGCGGGGTTGGCGACAAAACTTTAGACGACTTCCGGCCTCTAACGACCTCCTTCCACTCTCCCTCAGATTTGGAAGTCCCCTCCCCCGGTTCACCAGGTGCTACTGGTTTCGCTGTGGTCGATGTCGGTTGTGGTGCAACTTGTGTGCCCTTTTTGCTGGGGCACTCCTTCGCCATGTGGCCCGACACACCACATGACCAACACCAAGGCTTTCTGCCTTCCACCACCACCAGCATCCTTCTGTCTCGGCAGGTGAGCGTGTTGGGGACGTCCTTGAAGGCCGATCTGTTCAGGGTTATCTGAACTTCAATGTCCCCCGTTTCTATTCCGGATCTACTTCTGAGGGCCTTCACTTTGTTCACCTCTCCATATTTGGTGAAGAAGGCCCCCATCCGGTCCTCGGAGATATCCACGGGCACCCCATGAACGGTCACTTTTGTCCTGCGGGTGCCCATGTATTCAGTTTGAAGCCTCAGGGTTTTTGACGTTAGCGTCTTCCCCGCCAAGTCCCTGGCTTCCTGCTCCGTTGCGAGAAGGATGTCCCATAAGGCGTTAGTCCTTCTCGCCAGAACTTTAGGGTGAATGAGTAATGACTTTAATGTCTCTTCCATATTCTCCCTGCTGACTCCAATTAACTTCCGCGTTTTAATGTCGGAAGTCAGGAAGGAAATTGTACGCGGCTCCACGGCGTTCAGAGCCTCCTTAATTGTGAGGAACTCATTTCCATTGAAGGTTGCCTCGAATTTTTCTCGTTGGTTGGCATAAAATGTGCCATCCTTTTGGAGCGGCCTATTTTGAGACCAGGCCGATTTGACTGGCGACACCGTTTCTGAAACCGGTGTCGCCGGAATGTCTATGTTGTTATTATCGACCATGGTGGAAATTCCACCACAGTCTAACGGCTTAAAAACTTCTTTGAACTGTTTATTTATTTTACACACAGGACACAAAATTATTATTATTTAAGAACAAAATAAAAACTTAGAAAAGGGGGCAAACAAAGACAATAATATTTTCAACAAAAATGAAAACGACAAATTAAAAGCGGGAGGGGTATAAAACACGAGAAAGAATAAAAAATGCCGACTCAACGAAAGCGAATAAGAAAACCAAGAGAGAAACGAAAAATGAAAACTTTTTTTGAAAATAAAAAGTAAAAAAGGAAAAACTTATCTATTTATGTCCGTGAAGTCTTTTTCTTGACAGGCGTAACTTTTTTTTTAAAACTTGCTTGTTTCAGTCCAAGTGAAAAAATAAAGGCAATAATCCAAGTGAATAGTAATCCAAGTGAAATTGTCCAAAAAATCTGGTAAATCCAATGAAGCTGGTAAGAACAGATACTACACTTTGATGTATTTATTGTATCGAAAAATACAATTGTGGCACAAGGCCTGAAAAGGGGAGGGGTTGAGGCTGGTCTTCACTGACTATCCTATACCTAGCTAATCCGATTCACGACCCATTCACTCATTACAATTTGCCCACTCACCACAAGAACTCATCCATCACCAAACAATCCTCCTTACACCATAATACCACATCCTCACAAGGGGGGACCTACAAAACGCGCCCCATGCAATTAAAAATTTAATGATAATTGTATATATATATATAAAAATCTCGTGATGAGGGATGAGAGGGGAGGGAGATGAACCCAATAATAAACTGAAAATATAAACATAAGTCAAATTGAACATAACTGATGTTAGTAGGGCTCGTCCAACCCTCAAATACAAAGAGGCCGCTGTATTCTGCCCATGGGACAAAATGAAGAAGCTCTCTCACTAAGGGTGTGGGGAACGGATAAGAAAAATCGTACGGGCATGGGAAAGTATAAGGCTGACCCAGTCGAGATAGAAAAGTGGGGGCCAAAAAACAAACTGGGGAGGTTGGGAATCTCGGGCTGGATCATAACAAAAGATGTGGTCCGGGGGCAGGCCGGGAGCAACACTTACTCGCATTAACTAGGTACACCAAAGCTTGTCTAACTTAACCGAGGGGAGGGCACCACAGGAATCCACCCCGATGTAGCGTAGGCTTGACCTAAAACAGAAAATCAAGGCTAGCCCCGTTCACACGAACCAAGCTCGCTTCAGTCACCCACCTTTCGCTGAAGACTGTCGAATGCAAGCGTTTTCTATCAGTTCTAATCTTCATCTTGAGCTGATGCTCAAAGAATCGGATCAGATCCTGATGAGAAAGACGGTTAGCCCGCAAGACTTCCTCCTCTCGCGTCGTCCATATCACCATTCGGGCCGTGGCTAGCAGCATGAGAAACACCATCCGTTTCACCCCGGAATACGGGGGCGACACATTGTCACACGCGTATGCGCGATCCATGGGCACAAGCTTTTCGGGAGCGAGACGAGCCGTCAGCTCGCCGACATGGTCCCATAAGGGGCGGACACGGGGGCAATGGAAGAAGGCGTGCGAAGCCGTTTCCTCTAGACCAAGGCCGAGCAGCTAAGATTTATTTTGTAAAATTACAAAATTGTGGCACAAGGCCAAAAAGGGGGAGGGGGTAAGGCTGGTCTTCACTAACTATCTTATACCTAGCTAATTTGATTCACGACCCATTCAGACATTACAATTTGCTCATTCACCATAAGAACTCGTCCATCATCAGTCAATCCTCCTTGCACCATAATACCACATCCACTCTAGGGAGACTTACAAAACGCGCCCCATGTCATAATGATCCTAACACATATGTACAAAAATTCCTTGGTTTTGGGCGACAAAAGTGGCCTAGAATATTTGGAAAGAGTTGTTCAAGTACTCCCTGGCTAGAGGGAGTGGAAGACCGTAGATAATAAATTACTGTCTATGGTTGCTGATGTTTGGAATGGCTCTGCATAGTCAGATGCACACTAGGTATGGTTTGGCGTTAACGATATTGAACTAGCCGTCCGGTTTCTTGCATGTTGCTTGACCTAGATCTGCGAGATCAGGAGTTGTGAAGGTCAAGGTCGGTTTTCTAAGGAGCGGATAATCGGCGACCGCGACAATCTATCTCAGTCTGTTTCTATCTATCTATCTATCTATCTATCTATCTATCTATCTATCTATCTATCTATCTATCTATCTATCTTTCTATCTATCTCACATATCTGTCTATTGATATCTATATCGATTTCACACTGTCTGCATGTCTATTTGTCTGTCTGTCAGTTGACCTTTGTTCGAGGTGAAAGGTCATCGGAAATCCCTGATGAATCATAATTTCTTTAATACTTCGTGTTGGTGACACCATATTTCTCGGAATTTCACAAATAAAATTAGTTTCATTTTTTTCTTTCATTCAAATCATGAAATTCAAAAAACTTTTTAGATTTTTGAAAATTCAATCTAAATTATTTTGACCTTTTTTTTTATTATTAAAAACCAGAGTTCAAAAGTTTTTTTCATTAATTGAAATATTTTGGGTTTTCCTTTTAATTCCATGAGTCAAAAAAAAAAGAGTTTATTTTTCGTTTTTATTATCGATAAAATATTAATTAATACGTTAATAATATTAATTAATACTTGAATATTAATTAATACTTTAATAATATTACTTAAATACATAAATTATTTTAATAATATTACTTATACTTTATTTATACTTTAATAAGATTACTTAATACTTAAATTACTTATTACCGATGAATATTATTTTAATACAAGTCATCTTGTTAACCCGAATCGAATTTCTTTTTTAACATGTATTTTTAATTTTTTAAAAGAATTAATCGGAGATAATTAAATTTGTATCCGTTTATAAAAAAAACTCAAAATATTAAATAAAAAAGATTTTTAAATTTTACAATAAGAAAATTTAATGTGGAAATTAAAAAATACTTTTTTTATTTTGCACAAAAAAATAAATTTAATAAATAAATTTATACTAATATTAACTAATAAAATATTATATAGTCGTCTTTTTATTTTATAGTACTTTTTTATTTTTAACAAGTTTTTTTAATTGAATTTTATTTTGCCAACAATTAATAAAAAAGATGATAGTATTTTTTTCAAATGATTAAATGTCGTGAGTTAATTGAAGTAAAAAAGGAAAGAAAAGAAGAGAATTCGCCCCTCTCTAATCGTTCTATGTTTTCTCTCTTGCTACTCTCCTTCCCCCCTCTTTCTCTCAGCTATAACACGTAAAGAAAGACAGTTGTGGAGAGCCATAATCGCCAACATCCTGAATGGAGCCATAATCGTCAACATCCTGAATGGACACAGCACATAGAAAAAGAAAGAATCAGAGTCAGTATATATTAAGAGCTAGAAAAAAGAGGAAATTGTGGAGAGCCATAATCGTCAACATCCTGAATGGACACAGCACATAGAAAAAGAAAGAATCAGAGTCATTATATATTAAGAGCTAGAAAGGATAAGAAATTGTGGAGAGCCATAATCGTCAACATCCTGAATGGACACAGCACATAGAAAACGAAAGAATGAGAGTCAGTATATATTAAGAGCTAGAAAGGAGAGGAAATTGTGGAGAGCCATAATCGTCAACATCCTGAATGGACACAGCACATAGAAAAAGAAAGAATCAGAGTCAGTATATATTAAGAGCTAGAAAGGAGAGGAAATTGTGGAGAGCCATAATCGTCAACATCCTGAATGGACACAGCACATAGAAAAAGAAAGAATCAGAGTCAGTATATATTAAGAGCTAGAAAGGAGAGGAAATTGTGGAGAGCCATAATCACCAACATCCTGAATGGACACAGCACATAGAAAAAGAAAGAATGAGAGTCAGTATATATTAAGAGCTAGAAAGGAGAGGAAATTGTGGAGAGCCATAATCGCCAACATCCTGAATGGACACAGCACATAGAAAAAGAAAGAATGAGAGTCAGTATATATTAAGAGCTAGAAAGGAGAGGAAATTGTGGAGAGCCATAATAGCCAACATCCTGAATTGACACAGCACATAAAACAAAAAGAAAGAATGAGAGAAAAAAGAAAGAATATATTAAGAGCTAGAAAGGAGAGGAAATTGTGGAGAGCCATAATCGCCAACATCCTGAATCCTGAATGGAAACACAGCACATAGAAAAAGAAAGAATAGAAAAAGAAAGAGAGTCAGTATATATTAAGAGCTAGAAAAGGAGAGGAAATTGTGGAGAGCCATAATCATCCAACATCCTGAATGGACACAGCTAGAAAGGAGAGAAATTGTGGAGAAAAAAAAATCCTGAATGGAAAGCACAGAAAAAGAAAAAAGAAAGAATGAGAGTATATATTAAGAGCTAGAAAGGAGAGGAAATGTGGAGAGCCATAATCGCCAACATCCTGAATGGACACAGACATAGAAAAAAAAGAAAGAATGAGAGTCAGAAATAAATTAAGAGAGCTAGAAAGGAGAGGAAATTGTGGAGAGCCATAATCGCCAACATCCTGAATGGACACAGCACATAGAAAAAAAGAAAGAATGAGAGTCAGTATATATTAAGAGCTAGAAAGGAGAGGAAATTGTGGAGAGAGCCATGAATGGACACAACATCCTGAATGGACACAGCAGAAAGAAAAAGAAATCGCCAACATCCTGAATGGACACAGCACATAGAAAAAGAAAGAATGAGATATATTAAGAGCTAGAAAGGAGAGGAAATTGTGGAGAGCCATAATCGTCAACATCCTGAATGGACACAGCACATAGAAAAAGAAAGAATGAGAAAAAGAAGAAAAAGAATGGAGAGCCATAAGCCAACATCCTGAATGGACACAGCACATAAAAAAAAGAAAGAATGAGAGTATATATTAAGAGCTAGAAAAGAGGAAATTGTGGAGAGCCATAATCGCCAACATCCTGAATGGACACAGCACATAGAAAAAAAAAAGAATGAGAGTCAGTATATATTAAGAGCTAGAAAAGGAGAGGAAATTGAATGGGAGAGCCATAATCGTCAACATCCTGAATGGACACAGCACATAGAAAATAAAGAATGAGAGTCAGTATATATTGAGAGCTAGAAAGGAGAGGAAATTGTGGAGAGCCATAATCGTCAACATCCTGAATGGACACATATAGAAAAAGAAAGAATGAGAGTCAGTATATATTAAGAGCTAGAAAGGAGAGGAAGTTGTGGAGAGCCATAATCGCCAACATCCTGAATGGACACAGCACATAGAAAAAGAAAGAATGAGAGTCAGTATATATTAAGAGCTAGAAAGGAGAGGAAATTGTGGAGAGCCATAATCGCCAACATCCTGAATGGACACAGCACATAGAAAAAGAAAGAATCAGAGTCAGTATATAAGAGCTAGAAAGGAGAGGAAGTTGTGGAGAGCCATAATCGCCAACATCCTGAATGGACACAGCACATAGAAAAAGAAAGAATGAGAGTCAGTATATATTAAGAGCTAGAAAGGAGAGGAAATTGTGGAGAGCCATAAGAAACATCCTGAATGGACACAGCACATAGAAAAAGAAAGAATGAGAGTCAGTATATATTAAGAGCTAGAAAGGAGAGGAAATTGTGGAGAGGAGAATGACAAAAAAAAAAAAGAAAGAATAATAAGAGCTAGAAAAGGAAGGAAATTGTGGAGAGTCAACATCCTGAATGGACACAGCACATAGAAAAAGAAAGAATGAGAGTCAGTATATATTGAGCGGTAGAAAGGAAAGGAAATTGTGGAGAGCCATAATCGTCAAGGTCCTGAATGGACACAGCACATAAAAAAAAGAATGAGATTTAGTATATATTAAGAGCTAGAAAGGAGAGGAAATTGTGGAGAGCCATAATAGCCAACATCCTGAATGGACACAGCACATAGAATACGAAAGAATGAGTGTCACTATATATTAAGAGGTAGAAAGGAGAGGAAATTGTGGAGAGCCATAATCGCCAACGTCCTGAATGGACAGAGCACATAGAAAAAGAAAGAATGAAATATATTAAAAGAAAGGAGAGGAAATTGTGGAGAGCCAGAGCCAAAGAAAGAAAATAAAATCCTGAATGGAGCACATAGAAAAAGAAAGAATGAGAGTCAGTAAATTAAGAGCTAGAAAGGAGAGGAAATTGTGGAGAGCCATAATCGTCAACATCCTGAATGGACACAGCACATAGAAAAAAGAAAGAAAGAAAGTATATATTAAAAGAAAGGAGAGGAAATTGTCAAGCCAACATCCTGAAATAGAAAAGAAAGAATGAGAGAATTAAGAGAGAAAGGAGAGGAAATTGTGGAGAGCCATAATCTGAATGGTCAACATCCTGAATGGACAGAGCACATAGAAAAAAGAAAGAATGAGAAGTCAGCACATAGAAAAAGAAATGCTAGAAAGGAGAGGAAATAGTGGAGAGCCATAATCGCCAACATCCTGAATGGACACAGCACATAGAAAAAGAAAGAATGAGAGTCAGTATATATTAAGAGCTAGAAAGGAGAGGAAATTGTGGAGAGCCATAATCGCCAACATCCTGAATGGACACAGCACATAGAAAAAGAAAGAATGAGAGTCAGTATATATTAAGAGCTAGAAAGGAGAGGAAATTGTGGAGAGCCATAATCGCCAACATCCTGAATGGACACAAGAAAAAAAAAAGAAAGAAAGAAAAGAATATATTAAGAGCTAGAAAGGAGAGGAAATTGTGGAGAGCCATAATCGCCAAATCCATAGAAAAGAAAGAAGAAATATAAAGCTAGAAAAGAGAAAAGAGAAAAAGAAAAAAAAGAATGAGAGTCAGTATATTAAGAGCTAGAAAGGAGAGGAAAGGAGAGCCATAATCGCCAACATCCTGAATGGACACAGCACATAGAAAAAAAAGAAAGAAAAATGAAGTCAGTATAATTAAGAGCTAGAAAGGAGAGGAAATTGTGGAGAGCCATAAAGGAAACATCCTGAATGGACACAGCACATAGAAAAAAGAAAGAATGAGAAGTATATATTAAGAGCTAGAAAGGAGAGGAAATTGTGGAGAGCCATAATCGTCAACATCCTGAATGAACACAGACACAGCAAAGAAAAAGAAAGAATGAGAGTCAGTATATATTAAGAAAAGAAAGGAGAGGAAATTGTGGAGAGCCATAATCGTCAACATCCTGAATGGACACAGCACATAAAAAAGAAAGAATGAGAGTCAGTATATATTAAGAGCTAGAAAGGAGAGGAAATTGTGGAGAGCCATAATCGCCAACATCCTGAATGGACACAGCACATAGAAAAAAGAAAGAATGAGAGTCAGTATATATTAAGAGCTAGAAAGGAGAGGAAATGGAGA